TAGGGCAAGGTTGTGGCTCTTTTTTTTTTTCAGGTTAAGTATTCTCTTTATAATGTGTCTGGTGGCCTGCTTCTCCGATTTACGTCTCCTTCAAAAATCCCAGGTGTTATTAACATTGTGTGTTGCGTGTGTTCCTATGTTAAGTTTGAGGTGGAAAAAATATCTGATATTATGTTCATCTTTAAGGGCTCTGTGGTAGGTAGCATCCTAGGGGCAGATTTCTTCAATGGGCTGGTGTAGCACAGGTGAGAATTCCATCAAACTCTTCTCAATTCCTTCCATCCCTTAGTCGGCATTATTGGTAATTGTCTTGAAGACTTTTCCTTCAGTGCAAGAGTGAGAGCTGACTTTTTAGCAGGTTACCTCTGTATATATTGCATGGTGTTTATCTCCAGCATGCCCAGTAAAAATAGCAACTTGCTGTTTGATGGTAGGTTTTCTTATTTGCACGTTCAAGTGCTTGGGAGCAGAGATTGATGGGGAAGAAACTTGTGCTATTGCAACAGGTTCATGAAGTCTGCATATTTGGAGTTAAATTCATTGCTGGTCGTGTGTGAGGAATAGTGAGAGTTCCATACTGGAAGTTCCACCTGGATGTAAGGAAAAACATTTTTACTGTGAGAATGACAGAGCACTGGAACAGGTTGCCCAGAGAGGTTGTGGAGTCTCCATCCTTGGAGATGTTCAGAAGCTATCTGGATAGGGTCCTGGGTAACATGCTTACAGTGACACTGTTTGCTTGAGCAGATAGGTTGTACTAAGTGATTTCCAGCTGTCCCTTCCAGCCTCAACTGTTCTGTGATATTGTCAAACAGTTGTTGTTGTTGTTGTTGTTGTTATTATTATTATTATTATGTACAAACTGATTCCTTAAGCAACTTGAGCTGATGAGGTAAGAACCTAGACATCCATCCTACAATGGTAGCCCCAGTGCTCACATGTTTCTTCATCATTAGGCATGCAGAAGTACAGGCAATAATAGGTGGGTGTTCTGGTGGGGTGTTCTGATAGGCCTGTTATTTGTTATTTGTTCTTATGAAAGAGATCTAAATTCATGCCTGTGCTGAAGGGAAATACACAGAGCAGGTCTGTTTTACATGTTCTTTGGCGGCAGCAGCCCACAGTCTAAGTAGCCTGGATGTGCTGGGTGGCCTGTCTGAACCTGAGATGTGACAAGTCCCCGTAGCTGTGTTGCCCACCAGCATTGACACTGAGCACAGAATAGAGCTGAGTGTGTATTTGAGGCAGAGAAGAAGGTTGGACAAGGGAGACTAATGAGTACTTGGTCATAAAACTGTAAGAAATAAGGCTCTGAGTTGTGGGTTTGGGATTTTTTATTGTGGTTATTTATTTTAGGGTTTTTTTTCAGTACAGTTTGAAGATTTCAGTGTCGATGTTGAAGAATACCTAGAATAAAGCGATGTTTGGGGTTAGACAGAGCTTTGACTTTTTTTTTTGTGGATTCTTGAGTTCTATACTTCATAATTAAAATGCGAGATAATAAAATGCTAGAGAAACTCTGAATTCTTGCAGAATATGTGGAATCCTGGATCTCTTCACACAGTTTTAAGAGGCGAATGAAGCTTGTTAGAGCTTGCAGAAGTTGGAGGAGTTGCAGTTGTTGTAGCACCCATGGATCATTGTGACTTGCACATCCTATTTAAAACCATTGTTGAACGTTAGACGGGTTAGTTACAGCACCTTTCTTATCATCCATCTTTGGTTTCCGTGCTTTATTCACTATATGTTCTTGCTCTTTCACCGCACAGGTAGCGAGCAACAGTGGTTACGTTCATGGAAATAGAGCTTTCTAAGAAAAAACTCTTCTGGGAAATGGGGGAGAAAGGGAGGGCAGCACAGGGATTTTAAGGCAGATCACTCTTCTGCAGTAACTCAGTGCTGATGAGATCATCTGTCTTTCAAAAATAAGGGAGGCCTTCAGTTTTTTGGCTGCTTGTCACATTTTCAAGAGAAATGACTTTCATCCTAAAATGTAACCATCTCTTCATCATAGCCATCTCCCGTAGCAAGGCCATTCACGGCTCTTTCTAAATTTCTATCTTACCTCCAGGTACAGTTTTAATACAGCTGTGCTTGGAAAGTCAGATGTTAGTGACTTGCTTATTTTGCTCAGCAGTACGTGCTGCAGCTGATGTTTGTCTGGAAAAAGAGGCTTGGTTGTGAATTGCTGATGAGCTGATTGAAGAGTGAATGTGTGAGAGAAAGGGCTTCCTAACAAAACTGCTTGCTTATTTGTTTATTTGTTTATTTGATATGTTTGTGTGTTTCCTGATGAACAACATAGGTCGAAGTTTCTTAAAAGTTGTTTTTAATGTGTATTTCCATTGCACATGAGTGAAATTAATAAAACTTTCTCTTTCTTTTGTCACTTAGTAGTTTTTGAAACAGAATTGTTAAAATTACTTGGAAGTGAATTCCTTTGGAAGTGAAAGCTTCCAAATTACTAAGATGTTAAGATGTTGCTTGTCAATAAATCTCTGCACACCCAAGACTTCTAGGACAGACCACAAAATTTTAACCTACAAAGAACAGAAAGGAGGAGAAACTTAAACCTTAGGAATAAAACCCTCTGCTTTACTTCATCTGTCACAGATCAGAAAAGGGGTGCGAGTTGCTGCCTCTTCCTCCTCTGCTTGGCATTCCTCTGGATTAATATGGATAAGTGCTGGGAATTCTTTGAGGAGCCCTTAACATCTATGCAGAGCCAGTTAAAATGTTATATGAAAAGAAGGTATATGTTAAATGACTTAATTTGATTTGCCTTGCTGTATATGGGTTATAGAACAAATGGAAAATAAAAGGCTTTTTTGCCATTGTACATCTGTCACCATTTTGTACCTTATAAAATTGTTATACAGTATTTCTATTCTGATTTGATAGCATTTTATGATCACTAATGTAAATTTTATTATTGCTAAGCACAATAATTTAGAGTTCTTAAGGGAGAGTCCTCAAGATTCATTAATAATCCTCCCTGACTTTAATTTGGATTAAAAAAAAAGGATGGGGGACAGAATGTCATTTTTAAGTTTAGCATTTGCTTGTTTGTTAAGAATACGTCTAGAAACTTTTTCTGGTTTTTAGAGCTAAAAACAAAAATTGCAGCTTGTGTGTAATTCCGCAATTCCAGGATTCAGATTTATAAGTTTAAGTGTGGGTGTAGCTAAGTTTCTAGGCTTTGGGGGTATTTTTTTTGTGTTTTGTTTTGTTTAAAAAAATATTTGTAGTATTTCTTTGCCTGCAGGCAGTTGTTTATTTTTAAATTGAGTCTTCTGGAGCTGGGGCAATTTTCACTTAGAGAAGAAATGGAAAAGTTGATGTTGTGCTTTGTTTCTCTAAGCCTTGAAGACTTCATTTCCTGGACTGTTTCAAAAATACCCTAGTTATTTCACAAGATGAAAGAAAGATGTTACTGCATAGTCCTGGCACAGAATTGCCTGAGCTACTCAGAGCACAGCGATGCCCCACACAGATCATGACCCTTATTTCTCATTTCTCCAGTGTTCTTGTTGTTGCTGCTTCCACCCATCACTAGCAGCACTGCCCCTCTGCTTCTCACTCCTCCGTCCCCAGGTAATATTAGTCATGGTCTTCACTCCCAGGTGGCCTTTTACTTTTCATCTTTATCTCCTTTAAAAGCTGCTCTTCAGCTTAAACAATAATCTGCATGACAGATCTGTTTCTCTTCGTCCAAATCCCTTTTGAGTATCAGTAGCTTTATATTAAAAAATAAGAAAGAGAATGAACTTGTGGAATACTTATTTACCTTTTACCACAGCAATAGGAGCTTGCTGTGTGGAGTACATCAAGGAGCTGGTGGACAGAAAATGGTGTTTTGCAATAAATCAAGCCTGTATGTTACTTTAGTAGTAATTCTCATTTAGAGCTGGATATAACTGACTGCCCAGCTGATGCACAGAGCTGAAAAGGGCTTTTCAGTTTGCTTTCAGCACAATTCTGAGATTCTCCCAAGTCGGGGAGCTTTTTTCTTTGGAGAATGGGTGTCTCTGTATTGCTACCGACTTATTTTCTTTCTCAAGACTTTAAGCATTTTTTTTTTTTTTTTTTTAAATTACAGAATTCATGGGGCTTCTGTTGTTAAAGGAAGTCTAAAACTCCGGGGTTTAGGTGGAGGTGTAACAGGAGGTGGGGTGGGAAAAGAGCGGTGGCCTGTGGCTGTTCTGGGCAAGCCAGTGTGACCTTGCCCTCAACCAGATTAGACCAGTGGGTTTGTTTGCTCTGTCTTTCCTGAACAAAAGCAGCTGTTAATCACTGAATATACTCTTTGTGTATATATGTACATATATATGTGTTCATCTATTCCTCTTTTAGAGTAAAACAGAAGATAAGAAAGGGGAAAGAGTTAATCATAGAATCATACAATCGCTAAGGTTGGAAGGGACCTCTAGAGGTCATCTAGTCCAACCCCCCTGCACATGCAGGGTCACCTAGAGCACGTGGCACAGGATTGTGTCCAAGTGGGTCTTGACTATCTCTAAAGAAGAAGATGCCACAGCCTCTCTTGGCAACCTATTCCAGTGCTCTGTCACCCTCACTGTCAAGAAATTTTACTTAAGTTCTTGTGGAACTTTTGGTGCTCGAGTTTGTAACTGTTTCCTCTAGTCCCGTCAGTGGCCACCACTGAAAAGAGGCCGTCCCCTCCTCCTCACTGCCTCCCTTGAGGTATCTATAGACACTGATCAGGTCCCCCCTCGGCCTCCTCTTCTCCAGGCTGAACAGGCCCAGCTCCCTCAGCCTTTGCTCACAGGGCAGATGTTCCAGGCCCCTGATCATCCTCGTAGCCCTGCGCTGGACTCTCTCCTCATGGTGAAACTAGGAAAGGTTAGATGTGAAGATAGATTAGATATGAGATCTCTGAGAGGAAGTGTCAGGAGCGAGTTTCTTTCTCTCGAATGGTCTAGGTGGTAACATGTTTGGATGTATGTTTAACATCTTTGGTTGCATGTGCTTCATTCCAGCTCTACGTGGCCACTGAAGCCATCCTTATCGCCCTGGTAGGGGCAACACCTCCTTACCACTGGGATCTGGAAGAGCTCTCGGCCAACCAGAGCCACGGCAACCAGTCAGCGAGCGAGCAGAGAGCCTTTGGGGAATGGCTGCTCACTGCCAACGGCAGCGAGGTCCATAAGCACGTGCACTTCAGCAGCAGCTTCACGTCAATAGCCTCCGAGGTAAGAACGAAGCGTCTTCCACTGCATCTTGCGCATCAGTATGAATCTCATGGCACCAGGTGTAAGGGGGCTGCCACTGCTGCTTCTTTCTTCCGTATCAGTGCATGTTTTGCTTAGCAAATGAAACGGGTGCTATAGCCCATGAAGAGAACAAGTAAAATCTGTTTGTTTACTGGCAACAAAGAACTACCTTTTGTTTGGATGTAGATCTTGACCACTTAGTTCTTCTGCAAAACCTCTGACCTTTTTCCTAGCTGAGTTGCATATTGAATGCTGCCGCCTGACTCCAGACCTGTGTTAGAATTGTGTCATCCTATTAATGTGTTCAAAAATCTGCGGGGAGCCTGAGCTCTTTCTGACCAGCTTTTGACATTCCCTTAGGTCAGATGAATGCAGTGACCCACGATGCAGTTGGCAAGCAGTGGAGGAGGAAGTGCAGAGGAAGTGGCTTTTGCAAGTTTTTTGCAACCCCAGATATGGGGAGTGGCATGGGGATAGAGAGTTGGCTAGACAAAATAACTACCTCCATCCTATCCCTGAGCAACCTTTATCTTTTATAAGCATGGCCTCTGTGTTGTGTAGGTCTCCTTTTTTGTAGTCTAGCCACAGTCTCCAGGGAAGTGATCCTGACTCGTGCACTGTGATTTGTGCAGCACCTGCCCTTCTTGGGGCCAACAAAATTGTCTAATGTTAAGTTATTCTGTGCAAGATTTTCCTCTCGGTTATAAGATTGAATTAGGCTGAATTAGAGCTTCAGTTAAGACTATTGTGCTATAATTTGAAAGCTTATGGTTGTTGTCCGTAAGCATTACTGCTATTTGAACTCGCCCTGAGAAATACTCAAACTTTATTAGTTAAGATCACAGTAGTAATAATGTCCAGTTTTGGAATAGAACCGAACAAGCATTTTGTGTACAACAGCCACTGGTTCTTCTTCTTGGTAACAAAGAATGAGTACTTACGCCTCCACTGAATTTAAAAGCCTAGTGTATGGCAGGTTTTTATTTAAACATAACTTAAAACCAATTGTCGTCATCTCTGGAATTGGGTGCGTTTCTTTGATTAGTTTTTATCCAAGAATCTTCTCTTAAACTTACCACAAACATATCTGAACTTGTTATCTAGCACTATTTAGGGCATAAATTTTGAAAAGTTTCTTATGTGCTTTACTTGCATAGATGTGAAACATAGGTAATGAACAAAATTTAATTTAAAAATACAAACTTTTAAAAAATTTGCCTATTTTGTATGTTTGGGACTTGGAAATAAAATCTATGCTTTTCTGTAAGGCCTGTGTTTGTAAAATCCTATTGTCTCTCCTATATTCAACTCTTAAAATGTACTTTGTTCAGAATTCACTAGTTCTGTGAAACTGGAAAATTACTCTGAGATATTTTGATAATATTTCTTATAATACTTGATTTATGAGCTCTTCAGGATTTGTACAACATGCTTCATATAGAAGCACGCTTCATATAGAAGCATGTCCCTTTAAGGGCTCCTCGCCATTGAAATAAACTCATAGGATAAATTCTGCTTAACTATAAACAAACTTATCCCCTGTTTTTAGAATAGTGCAGAAAATACCTAGCATGGCTGAGTTGCAGTGTTGGCAGCATTCCTGAGTGTTTATATCAAAATGAGGGCATGGTTCAGGTAGCTATTGTAAAGGAAACTATGTTGTTTCAAGATAAAATTGTTCTCATCATATGTCATTACTATAGAAATGTATTTTTCTGGCAGTTGTGTTTTAAATCTTGAGAGGCTCCAAACCCTGATGTTTTTGATCACATAGTTAGTTTTAGAAGTGGATTTTGTCAGTCTTGATTTATGGCCGCGTTGTGGACCATATTAGTAAACACCTCACCATTTAAGCAAAAATTCAAGTTAGGCAAGTTATTTGCACAGTGTTGTTGAAGGATTTTGTTTTGCTAGCTCTCTGATCTTGTGAGTTTTAATTGTATGGCTCTGCCCCTTGTGGTAAGATAGTTTATGACTGAGTGTTGAAATCATAGGGGTTTTGCTAGGAAGGATATCTAAAGGGATTTTGATGGAGCAGATGAAGATTGAGGAGGAGATTACAGGATGTTATTGAAGGGAAAAATGATACAATCATCAGCTTACCTGCAAAGCAAGAAATACTGTGTTTCACTGAAGGAAAAAGAAGTATTTCGTGAGGAATCTATCCTTGAGTTCAGAATCAGAGAGGGAACTGTGCCCTTGGTTAATACCCTCAGTGAGTCTGAAGACTGAAGTTGTTTCAGTGGCTGTAATTTAATTGAAGAAATGTAACGGATAGGAGACTTCCCCAGAGTCTGATGTCCTTAAAAGTTTGTAATGCTTTAGCAAGTATGATCTTCTTGTGAACCTTCAGCACTTCAATTAATGTTCTTTTTATTTCTCCGTCCAGTGGTTTTTAATTGGCAACACGTCGTACAAAGTCAGTGCCGCCAGTTCTTTCTTCTTCAGCGGTGTGTTTGTTGGAGTAATTTCCTTTGGCCAGCTCTCGGATCGCTTCGGAAGGAAGAAAGTCTATCTCACAGGTAACCAGTGCCACCTAACAAAATGTGTTGGTGTCTCGTCTCTGACGATCCATGGCAAGAGCCCAGTTTCTGGAGAGAGCTTCATACATAGCAGTGAATCATCTGCTCTGTTTTTGGTGGTTCTTCTTCCATATACCAAAGGAACATAAGGACAAGTGGTTAATATTTGTCTATTTGAATGAGCATCTGAATGTTATCTGAATAATTATTTTATCTGAATAATTATTTTAGATTTAGTAACCTTATCACAAGGTCTTACACCATAAAGTTGAGTTCATTTGATGGTAGTCATGCACGTAGTATCTTTGCAGACTACAGTTACTATTTATACTAATTTATTAGCATGTATGACTTGTTTGCTGTACCTTTTACTCCTGTCTACATGATATATTTTTATGTAGTTGGAAGCCTCAGTGTGTTTTGTTGTTGATAAGATTTATTGATATCTTCAGACTTAAAACTTCCTGGAGCTTCATGTTTTCTGTATATCTGCCTATCTGTAAAGCTGATTCGTTACTCAGTGAGTGTGCACTTGCAATTAAAAGAAATAAGCAAATTACTCTGAATAACTTCTTCATTCAGAGCAAATAAAGGGCAGCCTTTATGCAGTGCTGATGAGCTGTGTGCTACCCCATGATGGGCTGCTTTCCAAGAATGAGGGGAAATGTTTAGTCTCTGACTTCTGTATGGGGACAAATATCAAACCATTTTAACTAAAGACGTGGTAGTTTAGAGGATGTGAAAAATTGCCTGCCATGAAGTGAATGCAGGAGTTTACCACTGTAAATCATGTACCAGCAGTCACTCATTTTGTGTTCTCTTCTTTTATGGCATAGCCTTGGGGTACATTTCTACCCAAATCTGTGGTAAGCAGCAGCATTCTATAGTTCAATGAGATTACTTAAGACAGATGTCACTGAGCATCAAGTGAAATCACTGATGAATGCTTCTGTTTTTCTTCGGATACTCTTCTGATCTGAACCCTTATGCCTTGTTCTCCAGGTTTCGCCCTTGACATCCTGTTTGCCATTGCCAATGGATTCTCGCCCTCCTATGAATTCTTTGCCATCACTCGCTTTTTGGTAGGAGTGATGAATGGTGGGATGTCACTAGTGGCCTTTGTACTACTGAATGAGTGTGTGGGTACTGCCTACTGGGCATTAGCAGGTGAGTTTGAGTCACAGTGTTTATTGCCAGATTTTAGAGATTTCTGCCTTTTGTAGTACTTGTAGTACACCAAAGCTTAATATAACATTTGCAAATTTAAATGTGCTCCCTGGAGCATATGTGTGACCACAGTCTTTGAGCCCTACTCTGTTTAATATGAACCTTAGACAAGCACAGCAACTGGCTTGAGGCCTTCAGATTTCTGCATCACTCACACGGGCAAATGTACTTCAGTTGAAGCAAATCCACTGGGCCTGTTACACAGATAAATACCTGTCAGTGGTTCATGATGGTTGAGCTCTGTCTATCAGCATTTGGGACTCTGCAGAACAGACCTTGTTTAGTGCTTGCATGCAAAATTATGTATTTGGTCTGATAGCTATTATTTTTCCTCTGTTACTGAGTGGATTTTTGTTAAAGAAATTGTATTTTGTGTCTGATCCTGTATATTGAGAGCTAGCAGTGTTGCTTGGAGGAGTGATAATGTTTGATTGTTTTGTTTGTTCCCATGATGTATTAGGATCCATTGGCGGCTTATTCTTTGCTGTGGGAATCGCCCAGTATGCTCTGTTAGGTTACTTCATTCGGTCCTGGAGGACTCTGGCTGTTGTGGTTAACCTGGAAGGAACCGTAGTCTTCCTCCTCTCTCTGTAAGTTATTTATTAAACTGGACTTCCTCAGGAAAGATGTGAAATATGAGAGAAAATCCAACTAGGTCAAGGACTTTCTCTAGGATAATCTGATGTGATGTAACTAAAGTATTTCTTTTAACCTCCACTGCATATTCTGTTCTTTTTTTAAATAGCAGTGCTGCATTATCTGAAAACGTAAGTAAATGTTCTGTTGTATGTGCATTATTCCTGTAGACCTACCTGTTGTGTGATAGTCCTATTCTTCAGCTGGCGTGTGTAGATGCTCCAAGCTGTTGTCTGCTGTATATCTGCAACAACAAACTATGGATGCATGTTGAATGATATGGAAGCATTTTGGTGATTTTTGTGTTAACATGATGTTTCTCTACTAAGCTCCCAGCTTACACAGAAAGAACAGCATCAACAGTGTACATACAGTCTTAAAGGTGATGTGCAAAAGGAACATGGACAGCTCCCTTTATTATCTGAACTTAGTGCTTGGGAAGGAATAGGATGCAAAGTTTGTTTATTTAGGAGTGGGGTTTTTGTGCTTGTGGGTTTTTGCAATGAATGGTGTGTGATGTGATTCTTCCTTTGTCATAAACTTGTAGCTGAAACTTCCTTAGAGCAAACTTCCCAGTAACTGAGAGAGAAGGAAAAAAAAAAAAAAAGAAAAAGAAAAAAAAAAAGGACTCTAGTTAGTGTTTAAACTTGAGAACTTGAGACTTTTTTCCCTTCCAACATCTATTTAACTTCAGTAACTAACTAACTTCCAGAGTAGAGCAGAGATCTTTGTTAAAAAGTCAACATACCCTTCCAGAAGCCATCCAAACTCAGGCCTGCCAGCCAAGGAGAGATCTCAGAGCATGCTTACTTGGTGAAAGCAGAGTTGATGTTTCTGAAATTTTAAAACTGAAGTGGTGTTTGGGAGAGGAAAAAAAAAATTAAAAAGGCTCTAAACTTTCAGATTATGGTATGATTTTTTTTTTTAATGTTTTATGCACAGAACTTAAAAGCTGTCCTCAGAGACCCATCTTATTGTTGGTAACAATTTTTAAATCCAAATTTCACACTGCCCTCCCTCTCTGCCTTGCTTGAAAGTACTTGAAAAGAAAATGTTACTGGATTTTTTTTTTTAGTTGAAAAAGATGTTCCTTGCTAATTTGTGGGGGTTTTTTTTGTTTTGTTTTGTTTTAATAAGCACTGATCACTTCAAATTTAAAAGAATGCCCCTTCTGGGCAGAGACAAAAATCTTAGCTTCTGTCAAAAGCCTGAAGTATAAGATAGTTCTGGGCTTTTGAAAACAGTAGAAGATGATTTGTTTTGCAGGCAGTGTTGGAGGGATAGACCTTTCAAATGAACTTTGCGCGTGGAAACAAGATTGTGGCCTTTGTGCAGCTGCTGCCTTGCTGTCTGTGGGCAGGAGCTCAGAACAGTACTTGAACATGAGGATGATGAGACTAGTTGTTGTTATAAAAGCCCCCTTTGTTCACTTTTAGTAGTGTGGTGGCTCTTTACATTCCTCTAAGAGTGTTGGTAATGTTGTAACTAACTTGAGCAATATTCAGCAGAATAATATAATGGGTATATACGTACAAGCTAAATATAAATCTAGACAAAGTATACTGTAAAAATGCTCATAATTTCTTCATAAGTGAATTGTAAACCCAAAATGCTGTTTGAAAAATACTGTTATGCAGGAAGATATTTCAGCCTTGTTTTCATAGGCAAGTCCAGCCTTGCAGAAGAGAAGGGCCCTAAAGTGCTCTGCATTGTGTGCATGTGTGTGTGTTTCAGATTCATTCCAGAGTCCCCCCGTTGGCTGTATTCACAAGGTCGGCTGAGCGAAGCAGAAGATGCGCTCTACCTCATTGCGAAGAGGAACCGTAAGCAGAAGTGCACTTTTTCCTTAAAACTTCCAGGAGAGAGGAGCCCCGGAGAGGCCGGCAGCTTCTTGGATCTCTTCCGCTACAGAATTCTCTTGGGACGCACTTTGATCATGATGTTCATCTGGTACTTGAAATACTTCGTAGGCCCCTGCTGGGTTGCTTTTGCTTCTTAAAATCTGTGAGAAAGTGTTGCTGAGAATCAACTCTTGCATGTCATACAGTCACAATCTTTGTTAGGGACACTGTGCATAAAAAAAATATCTTTGTTTTATAAAAACTCTTTAGTGCATTGCTAACCTGAAGGCATTTTTACAAAGTAGTCCTGAAATATTTTGTCTTCGCATTTCTGCTGTGCTTTTCCATCCTCAATATAGTTAAGAACTACCTCTTCTCTGATCCTTGCAGGCTGCTGAGATTAGTCATGCTGCCTAGGCTTTGGCCCAGGGTTATGTGTCAATGCTTCCAGGCACCTCAATTAGTCATTCAGTAATATATATAAGGAAGGCATTAGTAAGTGGGTGGCCTAAAACATCTTAATGAGTGTGTGCATTTTCTTAAAAGTGCTTCCGAGTGCTGCTATATTATAGAGGAGGGCTGTATAATGCTTCCTAAACTCAGTATCTAGAATATAACTCTCCAAAAGTGTCCATTTTGTTTTGGGTAGCTAAGTTAACTCCGAGCTCTTTTGCTGCCACTTTAAAATAAGCTTAATGGATAACATGGTCTGTGAGTCTGCTGGCAGTGCTCTTCGCATGTTTGGGAAAGAGGTCTTCATAGAGAAGAAGAAGAAGAAGAAGAAAAAAAAAAAAGAAGGGAAAAAAAAGGGGGAAAAAATTCATTTTGTCATCAGACCACATGCAACTATATTTCTGCTGTTTTTCCAAATGCTTAGTGCAAAATAATGTTGTTTGTTTTCTTTCTCAAATAAGAATTCACGAGTTACAAAAAAGTGAAAAACAGTTGGAGAATTAATAAAAACTGGACAACAGTAGAAAAATTGAAGGCAGGAGTCATCTAACAAGTTTGAAAAAGTGGCTACACATAGTTGGGCAAGAATGGGCAAAAGAGAAATTGCATATTTGTCCTTTGTTTTATCAGGCTTCACAAGTCAAATCATGCATTCATGATCGTACTGTAACTTTCTATTGAGATATATATACATCTAAAGTGTAATCTTATGTTTAACTGAGTAAAAACCCAGGAATTGGCTTTATGTTGAGAAAATGGTTTCTTTCCATGGAAAGCAGTACATATTTGTGTAGAAGCTTTTTTAGATTTATCTTCTGAAATACTAAATATAATTTATACTACATTGTGCCAAACCAGTGCCTTATTTGTCAGGTAAAGCTGCTGCTTTGGTTTTACTACTCTATTTTCTCTTCCGTCTCTTACAGGTTTGTGTGCAGCTTGGTATACTACGGCCTTACCCTGAACGCAGGTGACTTAGGTGGAAGTATTTATGCCAATTTAGCCCTCTCAGGGTTGATAGAAATTCCAGCATACCCAATCTGTATTTACTTGATTAATCAAAAATGGTGAGTATGTAATTACACTAACCCCTTCAGAGTGGGTTTTGTTTTCATTTTTTCCTCGCGATAAATTCCCTGCATATCAGCTCTCCTGGCTTATTTCCATTGTTTGCAGCTCTCTGCTTTAGTTTAACTAGTTCATTATGTCGTCCTGGGGAAATGCATTTCTATGTGAAAGTGCCAGTTACAGATTCTTGTATCACATACTTTCTTATTCCAACTAGTTCATTTATCATTCCCTAATAATCCAAGTTAGACTCAGAAGATGAGGCTGATTCCTAAAGATCAATCACGCTTAGTCGTGCTGACTCCGTATTAACACAAGATGGCATTCTTCCCACCTCTCTTTTGTAACACTCGCTGTTAAGTCAAATCTGCTGCTACTAAACTCGAATGGGACTGCTTTGTGTTGTCCAGTAATAGCTCCAGCATGCTTTACTAGGTGAGCAGAACTGCTCATTTAGATATTTAGTCTTTTATTGAGTCAGGGAACTCTTGTCTCTCACTTTAATGCAATTCACTTCCTTGTTTCTCCTCTGCATGTCCTCTGACCAATTTTACACACAGGCACAAAAAGCAGAAGGCAAGTCAAAATTCTAGTGATTGTCAGCTACTACAGGAAGCTTTCATAGTGCTGATTTTAAGAGAGGAATAGAAGTTTAAAAAAATATATGGAAGAAAGAAAGTCTTTGTGGGAGTTGGAATTTGGCACCTTTCAATTGCAAATAATAAGACTACAAAGATCTAGATGTCTGAAATCTGCAGATGCAGTGTAGACTAAAACTCTTAGGTGTGTGTTATCCATTCTTGTTCATCAGGTTTGGTCGAAAGCGAACTTTGAGTACATTTCTGTTCCTGGGAGGCCTGGCTTGTCTTATTGTCATGTTTCTTCCTGAAAAGAAAGGTAAATATTTCCTTTTGTTTCTGAAATGGGTGAGAAGTTGTAAATATATCATCCTACGCTCTTAAGAGTTTGTTGCTTGGCTTATGCACATGAGTGTCTCCACTTTGAAGCCAGAGAATTTAGGACAAAGAATAAGCAGTTGTCCTAAGAGCTTAAAGGAAGCTATTGAAAAAGTTTTGGATTTTTACCACTTGACTTCATATTGTACCCTATATTTTGATCAAATCAGTCACTCCTTTCCAGTGTCTGAATCTTGCTTAATCCCAAAGAATGATATTGCTTGGGATATCTCTCTCACCCATCAGTCTTGTGTATCTCTAGGTAAAAGTAGTGTCAGAAGACTTCAAGAACTAAATCCTTGGGCAGGTTTCCCCGTTCTCACTGCTCTATGGAGTTCAAGAAGTTTGTAGTTACGTTTTGTAGCTACATCATTCTACATGGCCACATCATTCAGAGAGCATTTTAGAAATTTCCTGAATCAAGGAGTCTTTAAGAAATACTAAAACATGTTTTTTTTTTTTTTTTCCCAAAGACATGTTGATGTTCACTTCTTGTTTTTAGATGTTTAAAAATACAGATACAGTGAATCTCTTTGACTTTGAAAGCAAAACTCACAAATGAATCTCAGTAATATTTGAACATGTGTAACATCTTTTTATAAGGAACAAAAATGCTTTAAACAGCTTCTCTCTTCTACCTTGAGTGCTAGTTCAGTACTGTAATCTTTGGGTCTGTCCAGCTGTTTAATCTAGCCTTTCACTGTTGGATTTTATTTAACGGAATGCAAACAATTCACTAGCAATTAGGCTACTGACAGTCTGCCTTTAGTTTGAAATACTTTCTTGATTACATTTCACAGTGTGATTTATGGAGAATTTTCTTCTTTGTACAAATTAAATCATGTGAATAAAGAGTACATCCCTAAATACAGAATATGAATTTTGTTGGGTGACTTCTGACATTGCTGTCTCAAAGAAGCCTCTTTGGATTCTCCGAGTTTCTGAGAGTTCTCCTGAAAGTACAGATCTTCTGTGACAAATGCTGTTTTCAATAGAAATATGCTGGGCTGTTCTTCATAACAAGTTCTTCAGTAGGTTTGTTATCACTCCATACTGTTGTGTGCTTGAAGTACTTATTGAGACCTATTTCTGTATGGTCTTTACAAGGGTCCCATTTTCTCTGTCAGACGCAGGAGTGTTTGCCGTGGTGAATAGTCGCTCTCTGTCTTTGCTGGGAAAGCTGACAATCAGTGCTGCATTTAACATTGTTTACATCTACACGTCGGAGCTTTATCCCACAGTGATCAGGTAATGGCAGTTAGTCTTCATGTTTCTGGTTCCTCTGTGTGATCCCACTTTCTGTGTCTTTTAATATTAACTACATGCATTGCTTTGAGGTTTTCACTTAAATATCGTGGTTGCATGGAGACTCTTACATTATTAAGCTGCTTCTGTTGTCTTCTCCCTTCTTATGCCTCTCTCAAATTTACATGATTCTCTTCAGAATAATTGTCTTCCATGTGAAGCAGTAAAATAGTTTTTTTTGTGTGGTTGGTATGCACACAGCCATCTCTCCAGTGATGAGGATGAGAATGATATTAAAATTAATTTGAGTGACATCTCTAACTTTCTAAATGCTTTATAAGATGGACGACTCTGTTAGACATTCATGCTCATATAACTACCAACACTGAAGACGACCAGTCAGTGAGCTTTGTAAAAGTAACTTGATGCTTCATAAGCACATATGAGCAAGGGAGTAAGGATTTGTTGGCTAGAGACAGAACTGCTCCATGCTTGTGGTGACAGAGTAGACAAAAGCATCTTTTATGCAGGTGTAAAAATTGCAGGTGCAATATTTCCTGGATGCTTTTCCTGGGTATGACCAGGAATATACAGCAATGAAGGTGTGTTATAGTGCGTTTAATGGTTTAGCAAATATGCTGATAAATACAACTGGGGTAAGGGAAGTCACCTTCCTTTTAGATATGGGTGAGATGCTTTGACTGGAATCATGATTTTTGTCTTTTTCTGTGTATACATGTGCTAGAATTATGATCACACTCAGGACTTGCGCTTCTGTAAGCGCAGAGTGTGGGGATTATTCCTGTACTGGATTACTTTTAGTTGCACATCCCTTTTCTTTGCCAGGTAATGAGGTCAGAGACATAACTGATGTTTTCCTTGTTGATAGATTTTTTTCTTTTTTTCTTAAAAAAAAAAAAAGTCCTTATTCCTCTTATGTGAATGCAATTAATTAATGGCTGTCATTTTCTTCTTAGGAACGTTGGAATGGGTGCCTGTTCCATGTTTTCCCGTGTTGGTGGAATCATTGCTCCTTTCGTCCCTTCATTGGTTTGTCTGAACTTCTCGCTGCTTTATTTATATTTTTGTTCTGTGTGTCTCATGTATCAGAGAACTGCAGAGGTGGGGACAAATTATGTATTTAATCTAAGGTCTATTATTACTTGACAGTATTGTGGTAGGCCAACAGCATTGAGATGGAATCTGTGTAATCGGACAGGATTGCCATCACTTAGTTCAGAAGATACTTTAGCCCTATGAAAATGTGAGCACTTAGCCTTTGCACTTCAGCAGTGTTGTCAGTTAAAGATACCAAGATGGTGATTCCAATTTTAAAACCTAAGTGACCAATAGTAAAAGAAAGAAAGAGAAAATATTTGGGAGACTTGATGCCTCAGATGATAAAGCACAAAGGTTCAAAACTGTTATTTCTGAGAAGGCAGGGTCAGCTTCTGTTGCTGTCACTACCTTAACTACATGTGGATTATAATTATCAGCAAAGCATTGAATCTTTGAGTTAAGATAATGCTTTAGAGACCTGAGATACCCTCAAGGCTTCTGAGCAAAACTTCAGCAGCCTTTCAAGGCAGAGAACCAAATATGGGGATGAAGCAAAACCATAAAATTATTTCCCCCCTGTATTTATAGGCAGGTGTGTACGCAGGTAAAATAAAGGCCCAGTTTCAAATTGCTTATGTAAACCAGGTGAGAATTCCTATAAAGTGACAGAGATTTTATCTGGAATACTTTTCTGGGACATCTTCCATTTTATTACTGCGGGCAGAGAGCAGGTAATTGTGTGGGGCCTTTTAGTCTGTAGCATGAAAGGTGGCGTAGGTAAGAGCACCTCTCAGGCTACTCTAACAGAGTGAAGGCTAGTGTAAAGGCAAGAATCTATATTGCATGGTCTCCAGTGGGGATTTGGAACTGCAGGAGATGTGAATCATTAGCCTTGGAGCATTGTGTCTGAGGAGGTCTCATGAAAATGTTTGTTTGTTTATTTCTTTATTTTAAAGAACATTTACGTGAAGAAAAAAAAAATAGTTGTTTCTAAATAGCTGTTTCTGTGTTTTAGAATTTCTTCAACTATTTTAATGTGTTTTCAGTTACTTTGTCTGGGGGCTTATAGAAAGGGTGAGAATGGAGAAATTAATTCCTAGTAAGATATGAAATGCTGCTTTTACATTTTATCTCAGCCCATTATTGTTTTCCTGATTTAGAATTGCTTTTTATTATATAAACTGAAAAAAAGCTAATGCTAGAGGCATCTTTAAGAAAGGTCACAATGTAGATCCATGGAGTTAGAGGCTAATCAGCTCAAACTCTGCCTCTGGAAAGGTCGTTGGAGACAAGCACTTGGAGTTCATTTCTAAGCATGTGAAGGTCAAGAAGATAATCAGGAACAGTAAGGAAGGATAGTTCTTGCTCTTGCTATGGATATCAGCTTGATACCCAGCCATGTCGTCACTGAAAGCAGCATGGATAAAGTGGAGAGGAGGGAAGCCTTTTGTAAGGTTTTAGATGCTGTGTCATAAACTGATACAGGATGAATGAAAGAATTAGTAGATGAGTGTTGAACACTGTATGCATGAGCAGGCTGAAAAGGGTAGTAACAAAGCCTCTGAGTTTGTTTGGTGGCTGTTAACAAGTGAATGATGAGACAGAATGCGTGATCTGCACATTTGCTAATGAGACAAAATAAGGAAATTTGACATCCTGTGAATAGCAAAGCTTAAATAATGACAGGCCTTCCACTCCATGAAGGTGAAAAAGAAGTACAGGCTTCTTATGGTGTGTAATCCATAGTCAATACAGGGTGGTAACCAACTGGTTGAGTAATGTCTATGCCGGAATGAACCGGGGGGCTGTGGTGGATGGTAAGTCCAACTTTGCACTGAGCTAGATTTGGAAACACATGGTGCACATATCAACTTCTCTCCCAGTTGCACTAGGATGTGGAAAGGCTGTGGAGGTTCTGATGGAGGGCAACCGAGATGGTTGTGGACCTAAAGCACAAGATGTAGGAGAGCTTGAGCAAGCAGCGCTCTTTTGGTCTGAGATGCACTCTTTTCAGCAGCAGAAAATAGTTCTACAAGGATTAATGCCCTCAAGTTGTGGCTTGGGGGTTGCAGGCTCTCTCTAGGCCTGCTGCGAGCAGAAGGTTAGCCTAGATGACCTTCAGAGATCCCTTCCTAACAACATGGCTGATTCTGTGCTCTCTTTCCCTTTCATACAGGCAAAATGTGTGGGAGGTTTTTTGTCCTTTTTTTTTGTTGGTGTTGTTGTTTTCTGTCTTTTTTTTTGTTTTGTCTTTTTTTGTCTTTTTTATTTATTTTTTTAATCAGAAGGATTTGAGTGCATAAATCTCATGCATTTCTTTTAAAATCCATCTCAAAATCTATGTCTCTATAAGTATCAATAAGATCAAATTGGTAAGATCAGTAAGAAGTAGTAAGTTGTATTATAAACACAAAGATTTTGAGAATATAACAGTTCCTTTCTTGAAATACACATTTTTTTTTAATCACAGTTGCCAGGTAGAATGGCTATGAAGGTTAAATGCTTGAGTAAACACCAGGAACTGTAAGGGTCAACCTCTGTTTAACCATTTGCTCTTGTTTCCAGAAATCTGTGCAGTGGTCTCTGCCGTACATTGTGTTTGGAGCGACTGGTCTTCTGTCTGGGCTTTTCAGCTTGTTATTGCCAGAGACATTAAACAGCCCTTTGTTAGAAACCATTTCAGACCTGCAGGTATGCTCATACTGGAGACTGGGTGACGAAGCCATGTCCTTGCAAGCACTGGATGGCTCCCAGGTATGTTCATTTTTCTTCCTTGTACTTCTCCAGTGTACTGGAGAAGCACATTCACCTGTCATCTTATATATGCCACTGACTCAACTAGATTAGGACAGTGATTCTTGGCCTGTGGATGATAGGCCCCAAGGAGTTACACAGGATAGCTTAGTAATCTTACCATTGCATCTGAAATGTTCTCTAGAAATGCAGGCTGGAGCATAGCTGAGCCAATTCATCCCTTCAACGACAAAAACTTATGATCCTTTGTCCTTTGGAATAAAGGACACGGATGTCACTGCATCTTTCATCTCTAAGCTGGATTGCTGCAGCATGCTTCATGCCAAGCTGACCACTGAAGTTTCTGAGAAGTGTTAGGTTAAAAAGAACAGAAGTCTGTTTGAGAGGGGCTGGTTAAGGGCAGCACGTTGTGTTTCTACTCAGTTCTGCCCTGGCTGTTCTGTAGAATTTCTAAATGGGTTAGAGCTAGATTAACCTCTGAATCTGTCTCACTGCTTATTCCGGAAAATAAGATTATTCCAAAATGTGGAACTATGAAACCCCTGGGGATAAGCAGTTATCTGTGGAGTTTTTTTCATTATTGTTGTTTTGTGAATGGAATGAGTATAGGGAAAAAAAGTAGCTCTGAAGTTGGAAATGGATGTTTAAATCTAGATAAGGGCTTAATATTAAATCCTGGTTCCTAAATTCTAGATGTGAAAGGAATGATAAAGATTGAATAAGTGGTCAATACACTTGGAAGGGCCAGTCTTAATGAAAACAGATGTTATCTATCCCATTAGACTGAGTTGAGACAGGAGCCCTTTAAGTTTCTAGTAAAACAGTTTAAGATTCACAGGTAATTCTAGATATATTTTTCACAGAAATCAGAGGCAGAATGAAATTTATTTCTAGAATTGGAGCAGTTGTTTCCTTTCAAAGGAACAAAGATGTTGCCTTGTTTACCAAATTTAGCTGTAATAATTCTTGACAAGACAGCACAGTTCAGTGACAAAAGCTTCTGTTAAGAAAGCCTGAAAGAGGCAGCCCTTTAACTGTTAATTTTTTACTTTTATCTACTTTACATGCACATTTTATAAAGCATTTTTAACCATACGGGGTCATGTGCTGGGACATCACATGCTTGCTCGCTACAGAAATCTACCATACACACTTAAAACAAGTTTACACCTGCTGTTATTTACATGATTACGTTGTTATTACAACTTAACCTTGCAGATGGCTTACTGACCAGCAACAATTCTAGCAAACACTGCAGATTTTTTGACTGAGGGGAAGAAAAATCACATTTTATTTTCATTTCTAATCAAATAAGGTCAGTACAGCCCTTTGGGGTAACCAGTATTGTCTGCGTATCAATATTCACACAACTCGGTTCACTGATGTCAAACAGACTTCTCAGGTTCAAATCTTCCCTGCCTGAATTTCTGCAGGCTTTTAAAAAATCCTAGCCTCAACATGATCCCCCAAAGAAACAAAAAATTGAGAATGCTCCTCAGGAACCTTCTCCCTTAGATGGATTCAAATGATTGAAACCAAATGAAACAGAAAGAGCCAGTTTGGAGCCCGCAGTGATAGTGTAACTTCAGTGAAGTTACATCTGGAATGTCTGTGACACTAGGGATTTATTTTAAAGCTACCAACAAAGAACGCATGGAGAAAATGGAAAGCTGTTAAACATTAACCCTACTTGACAAGGCCGTGGAGATGTCTTGTGGAGCTGCCATAAGTAGGTTGTAAAATTTATTTGGCATACCCTGAATTCCCCTGTGGAATCCCTTGTCCTTTTGTACCACCTTCAGGATAGCATGTGCTCTGCTTGCCCAGAACGGGGGTTTTGTCCCTGTTAACATACATGAATGTGATGCTCAAATTGGACAGCATCCAGCAATAGCCTGACTCTCCTTGAATAATTTTAGGAATTCAGAGAAAAAAAATGTAACATGATTCCCTTTATATCTTCTGACAGTTCTTAGTGCTCAAACTGTTTGAAATTCCTTTGCAGTTAACACATTGCTGTAACAAAATTCCTCTGAAGACAGATCAAAAGCTACAGATTTTGCTTGCATAGTTCTGTCAGTCAGGAATACGATTTCCATTTTTTTTCTTTCCCTTTCACTCCTCACATATAACGAGAAAGCCAGAGGTCTTAAGGTGGATGTAGACATACTGGAAAAAAATCCTAGAACTAGACGCAGTTTAGATTAGCAAAATAATCCATGCATTTCTTGGATAGCTAGTCAATGGACAAATACTACAGTGGCCAAAAGAAATGACTGAGCTGCAAGAGTTGGCTCTTGGTTATGCGTATCATATAAATTATGTTAAAAGGATTGTCTGGGGTAAAATATGCCTATAATAGGAAGTTTGCAGTCTGAACATATGACCTAGTATTTTTTTCCCCATTCTGTAACACTTTTAGCTAGTATTGCAGAGGGATCTTTTAAAATGCAACATCTCCATGCTACACTTGCTAACATAATTTAGGATGGAAAAGCTTTTTCCTGATGAAGTAATCTATATGTTCAACACATTTATTCCTGTAGATCATTGGGAAATAGATATAAATTGTTAAAAGTGAGGAAGGAGATGGCTGGAACCATCCTCGCCGTGTCTGTCCTGCGTGTATTCTCGCTAGTGTGCTGATGAAGGGCACAGAGTCCATTCAGTAGAAGCCAATCTCTTTCCAAGAGATTCTGTAGAACTAAGGACACAAAAGTTTAAGATTCACAAAAGTCTCTTTTTTTGCTGTTTTAATAAAGTGATTTGATCTATTTTTTTTTATAGTCATGCTTGCATATTGTTTTGACATTCATTGGTGACTTCTCTGTTAACCAATGTCTTTGTTTGTCTTTCTAGTTGGGAGACAAAGATAGTTCTGCAGGCAGTGGAAGCGAAGATGAGGAGTTTTACGATGCTGATGAAGAAACCCATATGATCAAGTAATGGAAAGAAGAAATGATGATCTACTTGATGCCTTTTCTTACTTGTCCAGTCAGTCCAGCTGTAAGACAAAGAGTACTGGGGACCACTTGTTCAGGGGACATAATTGGACAAGTGCCTATGTCTTTCCTACCCTAGGAAAGGGCTTTGAGTACTGTTCAGGTTCATTACACCAGTGATGGTCTCCATGCTGTTCAAATTCTTGTGGTTCAGAGTGACAATGTGCAGCCTGCGTTTGAGGCCAGATGAGATGGCAAGGGAGGGATAATGTGTTTCAAAAACCTACAAAGTTATTCAGCATTTGGGCAGATCATCAATGCACACACTTGCATTTTCTTTTCAAGGTGGTTTATTTTGAGTCAGCATAAATAGCTAAACCTGAAAACATCCCGTTTGTTTGTTTGTTTGTTTGTTTGTTTTGTAAAACAACATTGGTCACAGTGCACTGTGCACTACTCCAGTGGGAACAAATTCCTGAAGCTGTACATTGAAATGGTTTCAGGCGGTTGGGTAGGGAAGAGGCAAACAGTGAACATAAGGTATCTCCTTCTGCACTTGGAGAGACTGTCTAAAGTTACTGGGTCCAGCTGCCTAGTCATGAGATGTGCACAGAGTTGTAATGCTGCCAAGGGGGCTATGGGAAAGACCAGCCTTACAATCTGTAGACATACAGGGCATTGCTGATTTCTTTTTCTTTCCTTTCACTAAGCATTTCTTTTCTGGCTGCCTTATGTGCGGGTTTGCCATGTGTTCCTACATCTCAAAATTGCTGCTGCGTAGTTCAGCTTATGGTACCTTTCCCTTGCTTTGCCATGAGTTTTGAAGCTGGGCAATGTCTTTGTCTTTGCAGTGTAATGAAACTCTTAGAAGAAATAGCTTTGCAAGTGGAACACAAGTGAGGTGTTTGTCGCATCCCATGTAATGAGGTGTGTGCTAGAATATTTGGCTCATATTTCTGTAGACAAGCTGTGTCATTATTTCTGGAAGAAACTTGACACTGACATGGTATGAAGAATTAGGTTGCTGCTACATTTTGGGGGTTATTGCCAGGACGCTGCTACTATTTATTTTAACTTATTGTGTGTAGATAGTTCTTAAAACTATTTGAGACAGCATTTATTTAGTTACTTGAGCTTGCTAAGGAAGAAAATTTTATTCTCCTGTTCACACTGAACTTCTTATAAATGCTTCATTAGAGGAACATGAAATCCTGAAATATATAACATAAGCATATGAAATATGGCCAGCTACAAAGATGAGGCCTTTTTATAAGGATCAAGCTTTTCTTGTTTATACTCTTCTTCATCATTTAACCTGTGCTATTTATTAAGTTTGGTTTCCATAAAATACTTGTAGCTTTTGTGCTTGGAGTTCCAAGTATAGTGATACAGAGTGCCTGCAAGTACATTGTCAGAGTTGGTGGACATTTTTGTGTATATTAGCTTAAACCTGGGTTAAATTAAAAATACAATAAAGAAACAGAAGTGAAGTCTGCTCCATTTATTCCACTTAAATAGGGAAGCTCCTTTACTCTGAAAGGAAACGAGAGTAAACATTTTCTGAAGCGTACAGCAAGCAGCTTGAACTTTGTTCCCCTGGAATCTGTAGCACTGAGCTGAGCACAGTGCAACAACTGTTTAGAGCAGAGAGCAGCCCAGAGACTTCCGATTTTAGCGCGCAGCAGCCCTGCTGGACGGAGCTTGATCTGGGCATTGGGGGTGAGCAAAGCAGGGACCTTCCTTCCCTTTGCTGTTATGCAGAAGTTCTTCAGCTGGACAGTGCCCTGCCACTGTGGGTCTCATTATCGGCTTCCTGAAAAGCCCGAGTCAGAAGAGCAGGAAACACCTGATTTTCACACTATATATATGCAGCCTGGGTAGGTCCAGCACAGTAAGTCCGGGCTGAGATGCTGCTGAGGAGCTGAGGCTGCTTCAGCACTACATATGTCACTGTGCGTGGCCTACTGTAAGACTAAGACTGGGAGAGAGCCGCTGTCCTTGCCCTCGTTGAGCGAAGCGCGGCCCCAGAATCCCAAGGCTTGTTGCCCGGGTGCTTTGTGCACTAAACAGCCTGTGCTCCCTGCACCGGGCTGCCCCAAGGACATCACCAGAGGGAAACACCTTCCCTGGGCTCCTTTGGCTTGGCAGAAGTCATTCCTTTTGGGACAGCTTATTTGGGATTGTGTTGGAGATGGAGCTTCTGCACAAGCCTGACTAGCTGTCTCTTACCAAGAGACAGCTCGTACGTGTTTGGGATCGTGTCCCTGGGAGAGCCCACCTGCGGTGCATGGATACAGGTAGGAGTCCAGGCAAAGGTAGTGACGGGTGGTGACAAGTCGTGTGAGACGACATGAAGGAGAAATAGCCAAGGGGCTGCAAAAGAATAGTGGATTCAAAGAAGTGAGTAGCAGCAAGGGTAAGTGAACGCAGAGGACACAAGCTCTTAGGGAGAGAAGCGCTTCATGCTGTTTGTGTCATCTTGAAGCTCCTCCTTTCAGAGCTAGCAAGGGTTCCAGAATATCCTGTCACGGGCACAGGTTTCATCATTCCTTTTTTAATGCCAAGGTTGTGCCAGCACTGCTGCTTTAATGATGAAACTTTGTCTTTTGATCAAGATAAAATAGACATGACACTTCTCAGTTCTCTTCTGGACTCATCTTTTTTACGAACTGTTTTATGATTAAAATTATTAAAATTTCTAAACCATCTGATGAAGAGAACTGCATAACTAGGCATCACTTAATTTACCAACTTCATTCTGGAAAAAGGTAGGAAGATTTCAAGTATTTGATACATAGAAGCCTCATAGAAGGATTTTGCTACCTGGCTGTTTGTTTTGGTAGGTTGAAGAGTGGTTTGGTAGGTTGTGGAGTGGTTTGACATGTTATATATTTTTTTAAAACCACTCCCCTTAAACAAGCAAAGATGATCAGCTTGTAAGGCCTGGGCAAGTGCTGCATTTCAGGGATTCCCTGAATGATCCTTCACATAGCACAAAATGAGAATCTCTGCATCAAAGCAGAGCTGCAGGTCAATTGGTGTTTAGGTCAGGGTGCCAAATGACAAACACAGCTTCTCTCCAGTGACACTGAGTCAAGAGGGAGCAGATTTTTGCTAGATGCCACCTCTGGTGTTATGGTACAGGCTGTAAAGATTGCGGTGGCATGTGGATCTGCTTGCAGTGTGCCACTGTGGCAGGGCTACAGGCGTAACTGCACTGAAATTAGTGATCTCTCCATCTATCCCTGGCAGAACCATGAAGAACGTGGCTATTTTCCTCTAAGGGTGTCAAAGCAGTCTGCAAAACATCACTACTGTTTCCTCAAGTGTGCTAAGGAGGAAGAGGGTGGAAGGAAGGCACAGAGATGCTCGCTTGTCCTAGAGCATGTTAATGAAAAGGCCTGGGCTATGGCTCTTGTTCCAAATTTTCTTTTTTTTTCCTCGTGATTTCATAATGTGGGTTTGGTTAATGTTTTAATTGTTTCAGCTGAAGGGATGGTATATAGTCTGTAGCCTTTTCCGTGCCTGCTTGAGCTTTCTTGATCGTGCTGTTTGGCACAGCTGAATCTAGGCATTCTTGCACGCCAGTTGCCAGCCTGGCAGTAAGTATGTCAGAAAAGCACATGAGAATCACTGCCCTTTGGTGGAACTTAGGCTGGCCTGGCAGGCATGCACCTGTGACAGAAATATCTGTCTCCCCCTCTTCTCCAACCAGGATATTGTGGGGTGAAGCTGGATTTTGAGTCTCGTATATCTTAATGCAGGGCATGTTTAGTGGAGGAAGGATTCCCATATGAAGAATTTTCTGTAGTAGATCTAATGGTACAAACCAGAAGGTGAAGAAATTGATAGGAGTATTTCATGTTAAATAGCTGAATGCCTTGTCCAGTGTATTGCAGCCTTCAAATTATTCAGGAAATGGCTTCTTAAAGTCTAACAGAGCTGTATAAATATATCTTAACTGTTTCAATTTACTGAATTTATTTATACTTTATTTATAATTTTAGTACTGAAGGCTTCTTCTATCATCTGAAAAAGCTCCTGTATTGCCTAATAGGAAGCAGATTTTTCTGCTCTAATTTATTTGAAGTGCCTGTATCTTAAAAGGCCTTTTAAATGTTTTAAGTGTCCTCAATCAGCTTGATATGAGTCTGTGTATAAAATAACACCACAGTATTAGATGACGTAAGTGCCAAAGAGAGTTTTTGCTGGAATACAACAGTCCCAACTAGTTCTAGGTGTGTTCACTTGGAATTCTTCCGTGTGACCTGCTGAAACTGGTATTTGCAAGCATCTGTGTGAAGCTTTAGGGGACAGAGTTATCTTCATTTGCTGGTTTTTCGGTGCCCTGTGCACTTCAGTAGCTCCTGTTTCTGAACCTTTTTTTTAAATTATTTTTTAAACCTTTTTTAAAAAACTTTTTTACTATCTTAAAAAAACAGTAACAAACCAAAAAAATTAAGAATGCAGAATTTAGGATTTATGAAGACTGCACTATGTGGCCATGTAGAGGAATCTGTAGAGCCCAACTTGCACATGTTTAAGCTCACGTTCAAAAGCTGATAAAACTGCATATTGGAATTTTAGTTCATTTGCTGGCCTTAAAAAGAAGAGACTGCTGCTGATCAGGGAACTTTGTAGAATTCATCAAATTCATATGAAAGTCATAGTGGGCTTGAAATTTTGCTATCTGATGAAATATCCCATTATGACAAAAAACTAAGAGCCAGTCAGTGCTGCCACGGGCTGCTTGTTTCCCAGCACACAGCCCAGTCTGAAATGTGTCGTGGGAGTTGGTTGCCCTCAGAGTTTATATCCTCTCGATATAATCCAATGAGGATTAATCCAATGAGGATTGTAATCCTCACTGCCAAGCGTGCACGCAGTAAAGTGGAACCAGAGAGCGTCACAGTCCTCCCCTAATGGCAAACTTAAAGAATGCGTCACCTTGAACCAACTAAGTGTCCATCCCAGTATGCAGAAGGTTTGGGGAGGTCTCTAGCATGCGCTAGAAGTTACTGCTTCCCTGAAAAGGGCTGAGCCGCTCACCCTGCACCCGCTTTGTCAGGAAGCGGGCAAGGAGTGGGGCAGCACGGGGAGCTACTGAATGCTGAACTAGGTTTGTCAAAGGGCGCAAATGGCTCTTGCCCAGTGAGGGCGAAACAAAAGTATCCATCTCAGCTTTTGAATCCACTAGACTTTGATCGAATAATATGTTTTAAAGGTCTGGAAATTTCACTGGGAGACAGGCAGACAGTTTCAGATTTTAGTAGGGGAAAAAATCAGAACTGATTTAAAAGCGAGTGTTGTAGTATAGAGCAAAAAAAAAAGTGGTGATTCTTAATAAAACAGT